AAGAAGAGGAGGAAGAGGAAGAGAAGGAGGAAGAGGAAGAGAAGGAGGAGGAAGAGGAGAAGAGAAGGGGAGGAGGAAGAGGAGGAGAAGAGAAGGAAGAGGAAGAGGAGGAGGAAGAAGAGCAGGAAGAGGAAAAGGAGAGGAGGAAGAGGAGGAAGAAGAGGAGGAAGAGGAAGAGAAGGAGGAGGAAGAGGAGAGGAGGAGAAGGAAGAGGAGAGGAGGAGGAAGATGAGAGGAGGAGAAGGAGGAAGAGAAGGAAGAGGAAGAGAAGAGGAGGAGGAAGAAGAGCAGGAAAAGGAGAGGGAGGAGGAAGAAGAGGAGTAAGAGGAAGAGAAGGAGGAAGAGGAAAGGGAGGAGGAAGAAGATTAGAAGAGGAGGAGGAAGAGAAGAGGAGGAAGAGGAGGAGAAAGAAGAGGAGGAAGAGGAAAGGGAGGAGGAAGAGGAGGAAGAAGAGGAAGAGGAGGGGGAGGACTGTGGGGTCCTTGGTGCTCTCTGAGCTTGGCGGTTTTCTTGCAAACGTTTCATGACCCAACTAGGTAACATCATCAGGGGTGAAGGGCATGGGGTTTGCAGGGAGGAGGTGGAGGAGATATCAATGCAAGGAGAGAGGAGGGGTCATTGTTTATATGCTGGCCTCTTGCCAATCACCAGGAGAAATTGAGTTCTAGTAGGCATGCAAGCCAGCTGGGTGACTTTGGCGAACAGCTAGGAGACAGTGAGTTCTAGTTCCATTTTAGGCATGGAAGCCAGTTGGATGACTTTGGCCTAATCACCAGGAGATGGCGAGTTCTAGTCCCACCTTTGGCAAGAAAGATAGCAGGGTGACTTTGGGCCAATCACCAGATTAGGAGTTTAGGAGTGCATGAAAACCAGCTGGGTCAATCACTAGGGGCTGGTGAGTTCTAGTCCTGCCTTAGGCAAGAAAGTCAGCTGGGTGACTTTGGGCCAATCACCAGGGGATAGTGAGTTCTAGTCCCGTGTTAGGCAAGTAAACTGTTTGGGTGACTTTGGGCCAATCACCAGGAGACGGGGAGTTCTAGTCCTCCTTTAGGAATGAAACCCACTTGTGTGACTTGGCTGACCAGGCGCTCAGCCTCCCCACCTTTTAAACAAATAAAAAGATTTTGAATTGTACAAAGCAAAAGCAGGATATAAATCCCCAAACTGTTTTTTTTAAAGAGAAATTAAACTTCGATGCGTGCCGTCCCCAAATTTTTATCAACCTGATGATGAAAATATGAACAGCTTAACTTTTCTTCACTCAAATGTTAGGGGTCCTCAACGTACGACCCTCACGGAGTCTAGAATTACGACGAAGCCGTGCCGATTGTGTAGACCGTACGCCATTTTTGATTGATTTTCTTTTTTGCAGTGGTCGTTAAGACACCCCCTCCAAAGGAAAACTCCCCCCAGACCCCAGAAGACGCAAAAGACGTTGTGACGGTTGTGAAACGTTTATTGAACATTTATTAGCCACAAAATGACAGGGATGAATGGGGAAAAAAGACTTAGGGACCTGGGTGGGCGAAAACCAGCAGACGGAGCCTTATCCACATGCAGCGGGACGGAGGCTGCACCCCGATAACTTAAGAGAACACCCTGTTCCCCCAAAAACTCAATCCCTCCCCCCTTCCAACCTCTCCAATGACGGCTTGCAAAAAAACAACAGACATCTGGGGAGGCGTCGGTGGCCGGCAGGATACGCTCACACCTGACGGGCCTCCCGCGACACCTCGAGGAGTGGGGTGAGGCTCACCCACATCCGGGGGCTTTGGGGAAAGTGGGGTGGTGCGGCGGGGATGCCATCATCGCAGGCCTCCACGCAGGGCTAGGACCAAGTGAAGGACCGAGCCGCCCTGGATCTTGTAGTCGGAGGCCGTTTTCTCATCATTCCTGCGGGGGAGACAAAAAGCAGGGAGTGAATCCCAATTTTGGAATGGGGGTGCCTACTCCAGACACATATATCATTCATCTTCTTTTAACAACCCCCTCATCCCTTGCGGAGTGGAGTCAGGGCAACTGACTGAAGCTAGCAGAGTCTTTCCTGGCCGGCTGCTTTCCTGTTGCCAGAACTGAGTTTTGTTCAGCAGTGATATTCTCACCGTGCCCACAGAGAGAAATATCCGCTTCTACCTAGGCTCAAACTCACAACCTCCGGATTGTGAGCTCTAGGCCACTGCACCACACATATATCATGGCCTGGATATATTAGAAATCTGGTGCCCAGGTGTGGTCTTAGGAAAAACAAAGGATCTATTGGATCCCGGATCTCCGATTCCCCAACAAGCCTTTTTTTTTAATTGCCAAGATAAATCCAATATTTTAACATTAATTACTTCATTAATAACATGCTTGATTCAGAATTTGGATGTGTGCGGATTTCAATAACGCACTGATTACACTCAACTTGAGAAAATTGAGCAGATAGCATCGTTATGTAAGATAATTTGGATTTTTCCACTCAAGGAAGAAGGATACGAAACAAACAGTTCACTTTTGGCAACCTCTCGCTTGAAGTGTCCCAGGATTTTGCGGGATTCCCCTTCCNAATAATAATAAAAATAATAAAATAATAATAAAAATAATAAAATAATAAAAAATAATAAAAAGTTATAAGAAACAATTAGAAATAAAAAATAAAATTATATGTATTATTTATTTTAATATTAATTTATATTATAATGTGTTGTATTCCTTTATACAATACTTAGATACATTAGTTATCATTAATTATTGTTAATTATTATATAATTACTTATTGTAATTATTAATAATTGTAAACATTTTTGAATGTTCAGTTGACTGGCTTTCATGTTTCATGAATAAAGTAAACAACAACAACAGAGACTGATGTTTAAGGGGGGGGTGTCTCTCCCCCCCCCCAAATGCAGGAAGAAGACCCTCCTGCCTTCCCCCAATCCCCCAAACTCCCCCCTCCCCTCAACCCCCAAGGAAAGTCAATCACCCCCCCTCCCCTAACCCACAGCCACAGCCCAGGATGATGGGGCGCGCGATCCAAGACGCTCACCCAGGTCAAACACCACCAAGGCGGGTTTTCTGCACATCGCGGGCTCCCCGGAAAGAGGAGAGGGGGGTCATATAGGATCGGCGCAGCTGCCTGGCATGGAAACCCGGGGGAGGGGACGGGACTTTCCTGCGCTCAGAGCCAGATTTGGGCGCAAAAGGCCAGTTGCAAAGCCTGGAAGGGGAGGGGGGAGATCAGCGCAATTGCAAGCCGGCGCGATCCTGAGTCGATCCTAAAACAAAAGAAGCCCAAAGGGGGGGGGGGGGAGAAAGTCCCGATCTCTTTTTTTGGCTCCAGAAAGCGCGCAGGCGGATCCAGAGCAAATCCAGCGCTTCTCCGCTTTCTCCTCCTCCTCTTCCCCCGCAGCCAGCCGGTTCCTGCCCGCCTCCTTGGCCGGCTTAACCCTGAACCGCCCGGAGGGAAGCCTGGCTCCCTGGATCGAAGTGATCAGCCTGGCGGGAGATCCGCTTTGAAGGAGATCCACCGGGCAGGGAGGTGCAAGGTCGAGCGTCCTGGATCCTGTTGGGCTCGAGAGGATTAGCCCTCCCTTCCTCTCCGGAACGTCCGTCGTAACTTCGGACGGTCGCAAAAGAGAGGAGGGTGGGGAGGAGGAGGGTGATGGGGATTCCGTGAACAGGGTGGGTTTCTTGCAGACGTTGCGTGACCCCACTAGGGAATATTGTCAGTGCTAGAAGGGAGGGTGAAGGGAGGAAGAAGAGGAAGAGGAGGAAGAGGAAGAGAAGGAGGAAGAGGAAGAGAAGGAGGAGGAAGAGGAGAAGAGAAGGGGAGGAGGAAGAGGAGGAGAAGGAAGAGGAAGAGGAGGAAGAAGAGCAGGAAGAGGAAAAGGAGAGGAGGAAGAGGAGGAAGAAGAGGAGGAAGAGGAAGAGAAGGAGGAAGAGGAAGAGAAGGAGGAGGAAGAGGAGAAGAGAAGGGGAGGAGGAAGAGGAGGAGAAGGAAGAGGAAGAGGAGGAAGAAGAGCAGGAAGAGGAAAAGGAGAGGAGGAAGAGGAGGAAGAAGAGGAGGAAGAGGAAGAGAAGGAGGAGGAAGAGGAGAAGAGAAGGGGAGGAGGAAGAGGAGGAGAAGGAAGAGGAAGAGGAGGAAGAAGAGCAGGAAGAGGAAAAGGAGAGGAGGAAGAGGAGGAAGAAGAGGAGGAAGAGGAAGAGAAGGAGGAGGAAGAGGAGAAG